TTGTGTCGATTTTAGGACAAGAGTTTCTATTGGTTGGCTGACACCACGAGAGGAAATAGTAACCAATAGTATCGCTCGACACGTTTGTGCTTTAGGAACATTAAAAAACTTACATCACCATTAGAAGGGTTGATAGAAAGATTATGGAATAAATAAAACAACACCTGCTGTTCACATAACCACCACCTGGTATTGAAATAAACCGGCTGTGTGCAATATAGTTATAATCAGATGTCAAACGACTAGTTAGGTATATGGTGATACATGACCTCGATCCCATCAGATCAATCAGTCTGAAGAGGGCTGTTGTACAGGTACAGTCAGTCTGAAGAGGGCTGTTTTTGTCTGATCATGCGCCTTTACTGTCTCGACCTATCAAACACAATTTAAACCAACCGCACAGCTCAGCTGAAAACTCAACACAGACAAAAGATAAAGGTGTAAAGGTAAAGCTGATAAGAAACTTCCGCCTGTGTCGCCGTCCGCACGAGACTCCGTAGCTACAGCGACGTTCCTCCATTTACCCCAGAGTTTTAAATCTGGTACCCATTTCCTAGAGACTGGGTAAACCCCTGGAACCGTCCCGTTTCAAACACCCGCCGTGGACTGCGGCGAGTCGCAGCTGGATTTGAAAGCGAGTCTCCATTAGGTACATATAACACAGATCCAAAGATTGTCTGACTTTTTATACAAATGGTTAGAAAGGAGAAGGTGACAGGTTAGGAATGGAAATATTCATCCAAAAATAGAACAAACACATACACATGCACACAAATTTCAGCGCGAAAAGCAACATTTCAATATTTGCTGCAGAAACTATTGCTGTTCTGAAAGCATTAGAAATGGTCTATGATAAACCCCTATAAATGTTGACTATTTTAACGGACTCTCTTAAGTCTATGTTGATTATTCGACGTCCTTTTTAGGATGAAATTTTTCGTTATTTGAAGCCCCGCCCTGGCTCTTGCCAGGGGCCGCAATATAGCCAGGCTATAAATATGGCCAATTGGCTGAACGCGGTTTCTGGGACCTCTCCACGGTGATCCTCATCCACATGGGGGCACATTGTGACATCGGGTGTTTATCGATTGTGTGATGTCCTGGTGGGGTAGAAAGTCAGTCAGTCAACGGACTCTATCTGCGGTTATGGCTCTTACAGATAGCAAGATAGCCCAACTAGCAGAAATGACATCACGGAGGAGATATTCTTGGCTGCAGCTAACCTAGACACAAGAGGGCGCTCAGTACCAGCACATGTAGGAAATGAAAGGGCGGACAGAATAGGCAGAACAAGTAATTTTAAAATACAAATAGCTATATGTCAGGATGACTTTAAATCAGTAATTTAAAAACAAATTAAATAATCGTAAAATTGAGAGGTGTGTTAAATGAGAGCTTAACTGGAAAGCATGCTTACAAATTGTTTAAGGTTCCAACTATAAAATGTCAAATCAAATTGAAAAACAGGTTTGGTAAATGTTACTTGGTTCTAACACTGATATCCCACGGGTCAGGGTGGGGTGGGGTTAGGGGTGGGGTGAGACTAGCAGAATGAAAGAAGCCTTCGGGGATGTGCATTCTGCCTCCTTAACTATTGGTTATGAGCAGGGGGAGGGCGGTGCCGCAAAGCCTTGTCCAAGTGTGCATAATAATACTGTGCTGAATTGCACATACATACAATCATAACTATTTATGCGCACAGTCACTGCGTTTTATTTAAACATAAAATTGTCCGAAAGTGCATAGTGATCTCTAAAATATACACAATACAGCAGAAGGCGGGGAAAAGGGTCTTTTACTTTTCACATTTTAAAAATTGTCTGGTCAGCATTATCCTCTACAATAAATTGGCCATCAGACGAGACAAACGGCCGGCATCACACTGCCTGCTTTGCGTGCCCCCCCCCCCCTTTTTTTCTCCCTGGTTTGCTATATGAAGTCTTGACCTCCTATCGCTCGACAGTCGGCACAGTGGATGTGAATACAACAGGACAAACCCCATAAGCCCCCTTCAATCTCATATCAAGTTATAATTGGGCCACCTGTAACATTAGACGTGTTAGATAAAAAGGACGACTAAGTTAAAGCAGAGGTCATTAGTGATGTTATTGTAATATCACCACAACTAGGTCATTCCCATACACATACAAACACACACATACATACATAAATATATGGGTATATGTGTGTGGGCATCTACATGTGTGTGTGTGTGTGTATATATATATATACAGTACCCATTTTACAAGGCTGGGTTCACTGTAAGGACGCGCTGGTTGATATTGTTAGGAGTTGAACCCTGATAAGCGTGTTAGTAAGTCACACTGCAGCGCCATCTGCTCAGGCACTTGACTTGACTATACTGAATGATCAGCAAGATTTGTACCGAACCTTCCGTTGTACACTTTGTTATGTTGTATCCTGGTCATATCTTTGCTGTTATTTGTCCATTTGTATTGTTGATGCTCTCTAGAATTTGCCCGCATCTTCCCCGCTGTTTTGGTTTTCAGTGTTGTTAGTAATTCTTCAAATTAACGTCCAACTGTGGCTTTTCGTGACGTGTCTGTCTGCCCCGCACCTTTCCCCTTATTTTGTTTGCCCTACCCATCTGGCCTCCTATCTGAATGAATAAATGAATCAAGAATTGAAATAACTGCACACGGGACATTCCAATATATTCTCTGTCTCTTTCTCTAGTAGTCAACGAAAATTCGACCTGCTAATACTATTCAACCATGATACTATAAGTGTCCGTTTGTTGTTGTATTTTCTTGTTTGTATGTATATGTGTGTGTTCTGTATGTATGTCTGTCACGCATGTGCGTACTTCACGTATAATTTTTTTTTTTTAAATATGTTTATTTAAGGGTATGCATTTGGCATCAAAGCTTTAGTATTTTTACCTAATTGATTTTTATACTATGACTATTGCTTTATTTAATGAAAAAATGTTTAAATTTACAATATATAATAGATTTACCGTGTGAAAGATAAGTCTTTGAAAGAGCCAAATGTAAAACGAATCTGTGGGCCTAGTTTGCAACCCTTTGGAAATAAAGTTGGTTCTTTCGTTTATTCTTCGATTCCGACAATTACTTTATCGAAATGTTGGGGTGGGGTTGTTAAATTTAAGGTTTTCATTTCTTTAAAACTGTTCTTCATGCCGCCAATTACTTCATCGAAGTAGTTGGGGGAAAGATGTAAGGCTTTCATTTTTTTTAAACTGTTCTTAATGCCGTCGTTCCATATTCTGCGTGGTCTTACCTTTGCATTGGGCTCAGTATATTTATTTACCGGTCATATCAGCCAGATGGTCAAACACACGGCTGTGCTCCAGGAGGCTATGGTCGAACCATTTTATAGTTGTCACTTTAGTGAATTATATTATTGGTTTTAGTCTTTGTCTAATTGCTTCATTTTAACATTGTATCGGCAGTAGTAATTTAAACAACAATAATATCCTTTTCAACCCATTCGGGTTATAATTGACAATTGCCATGTACAGTTTTTTTTTCTATTTTATTTATACTGGATATTTATGCCTACCAAAATTGTATATCTTCTTGTTACTCCTGCAGCTCTTTCGAGACAGCTTAAATCTGTTTTGTTTTTGCGCTGATTTGTTGTAGTAAGAGTTCATGTTTGATAATGTAACTTAGAGTTTGAAAAAAAATATTCTACCGATTCATCATCATGATGTAGCTGGTCCTTTGCAGAACGTCGCTCTCATCACAGTCTGCCTGAAAGAAACTCGGTCTCTCGCCAGTTCTCCCGCCTCATGCACTTTCACACTCAAGGAGTCAGTTATATCCCGTGCCCATCTTCGTGTCGGCCCCTGCCCCTCCTTCCTGGTACCATGCCTTCTGCTATAATTTTTTCCAATCCGTCCTGGCGCCTGATATGACCAAAATATTTCAGCTTTCGAGAAAGGATGCTGTTTATTAGCCAATCTTCCTTGATGTTCAGATCTTTTAAGATGTCAATATTTCTCATCTTCTTTGTCCAAGATATTTTGAGAATCTTTCTATAGCATCTCAGCTCAAAAGCCCCTATTCTCTTTCTTAAGGACTGAGAGATAGTCCACGACTCACACTGTTGTGATGATATGTTTCTTGTTTCATCAGCCAACTCATCAGGTGTCATATCCTCCTGCACTGCCATTAGCGCCTCAAATTTGTTTTCAACCTCAATGCTGTAATCATTTGGCAAATTACTCAAATCGAAACGTATTGGCTTAGCCGCTTTTAACACTTTTTTTTCAGTTTTATTTTAAACTCTGCAACAAGAAGTTTGTGATCAGTGTCACAGTCAGCGCCAGGGAGTGTCTTTGCTGATGTTATACATGTCCTCCAATTTTGTTGTATTAAAAAATAATCAGTTTGATTCCAGAGGTGTCCACTTATCCTGGCGGATACTCGGTCCCCATAGCTGCGTTTGCCACACCGCAGTGTGTTTACCGCATGGAGGTGCAGTTGGGGTTTTCCCTTCACCGAGTCTTGAGACCAGAATGGCATTTTCCAAAACTCTCCAGTACTTTCAGTGGACTTTCTGCCAATTATTGTCGAAAAAAAATAAAAAAATCAGCTGTTATTTTATGTTTTGTTTCATCGAAAGTTTCGCTAACACTTTTTGATATTGAGGCTATCCTAAGCAGGGCTACCAATGCTGGGTTTTCCCCCCAGATCTGGGTTTTTATTTGATGCCTGGGGGAAACCTTGGTTGTTTTTATATATATATTTTTATATAAAAGTGGTAAATGTTTCGTTTTGTAAATATAAATTTTGTACATTTTAACAATCTGGGTTTTTTCATTTTAGTTTTTTTTGTCCGTGTATTGCTTGGGTTTTTGTTCAGCTAAGCTGGGTTTAAAAAAAAATCCCATTGGCAGCCCTGATTCTTGGAGAGTTTGTAAACAAATGGCGTTCGTCACAACGCCCACAGACGTCTGAAAACGCCCGATTATCAACATAATTCAGTGACTGTTGGGACTTTTCACAGTGATGTCGACGAGGATAAACAAAGTAAAATTCGTATTTAGAAGATAATCTTTAAACAAGCAAAATATTGATTGTGGTGGCAGCTTTAATTAATATTAAAAACATGTTTACTAAGTAAACTTAATATATTAAATATAATATAATATTATGGCTCTCCTTTGAATCAACCCCCAAAATGGCGGCTTTAATATGATGGCGTTCGAAAGAGAACTAAATTGGCCAATTTCTTGCCATAAAACATCTAAAAATATCAGAATGCAGGTCAGTTCTATTAAAAATATATGTGCCGACTCCGAATAACGAAACAAATGCTCTGACAGGGTCTCGGCGATACGTTACTTGCCGACCTGCTTCTGCGAGTATGCCTCACCACCGAGCGTAACCCCCGCGCCGCTACGCGTTGCGCGGATATGGACTAAACTAGATGGTTGGTACTCACAAGCGGCAGCTACCGCATCTCCTGCAACTTCCTCCAATTACTGTACTCGTGAGTCCCAGGCGCGCGGTGCGGGGGATACGCTCGGCGATGAGTTTAATCGCGTTTGGCGCATGCTGACAAGTCTGACATCTACCGCTGCTAAATCCTCCAGTCGGAAGAACACAGTATTACTAATCGGCTTTTATCTTCTGTAATATCTCGAAATTGTTGTCAACGGTCGGTATTTATCGTCTGCTACTACCGTGTGCAAATGTTGATATTGATTGTCAAGTAATCCTAGTTTTGCCGCGATTTGTTCCTTGGCAGAAAGTCCGTATTTTAGATATACGCGAACACCGTCGTTCGGATATTTTTGGATATTTTATGGAAATAATGTGGCATGCCGCCATTTTGGGGGTTAATTCAAAGGAGAGCCAATATTATTAATATTAGTTAACTGTGTAGGAGGGTCGTAATTACACTGAGCCGGGAATGCAGAGACTGGCCAGCAGGTGCCACGGAGATGGCAATTCAGCAATTAATTCAAGATAATGCTCGCTCAGAGGATTTGATCATTTACACAGATGATTCAGTGTCAAGAGGCAAAAGAATTGCTTGGGGTTTCTTAGCAAAAGTTAATGGTCGATATTTGGTGCAGGAGAGCCTAGCATATGATAGAACAACATCCAGCTTAAGAATGGAGGTGGAGGCTGTCACTGCAGCTTTCCGCTGGCTAGAGAACACAACACACACACACATTGTAATTGTAACTGATTCAGAAAGTATGCTGAGGAGGATCAGGACAGGCATGCTTCTTGCAGAGTGGCGTGCCTCGCTACGGAAGACACGGGTGAGGAGTAGTGTCTGGATTTTTTCACCAGGGTATGCCAGTGTGTTGGGAAATAAACAGGCTGACAGACTGGCTGGCTCTGCACAGCTTGGTGGAATACTGATGCATGATAAGGCAGACGTGGTTAGTGCCTTGTGGGAGAGCGTGTACAGTGCAGAGGAGCAGATTGATCACCACAGTGTGGTGAGACTGATGCAGTTGGGAGTGACGAGAAGTTTTGGCAGATGCTCGAGGCTCAGAGGAAAGGCAAGACAGACGTTTAATCAGAATGCTACTGCTACCATTAGTATCGGAACTCTTCGCTGGCTGCTGAAGATGGGGACAGAGCACTTATGGGAATGCCCCGAGTGCTGTGATGTCGGTTTTTGAATTAAATCAAATCATTTAGTTAACTTTTAATAGACTGCTAATTAAAGTTTGAATACCAGCGGATCTCTGTAATAAGACTGACAGTCTGTTCCGTTTCATTCCATCTTGTGCAGTCTTTTCAATATCATTGATGGGATCCAGTTCAGTACCTTTGGCCTATTTCATCAACGTTTGTCTTAGAATTTCTGGCTATCCTCCGAAAAATGGGCACATATTATGGCGGCCAAAATTAGGGCCTCAGTCACATGTAAATTGCGAAATTCGGGCGACTTAATTTGCGGACTTCAGGCGACTACCACTACAGCCGAGAGTATCACCCATGCTGCTCATGCGTCATGGATTGGGGCTAAACTAGATGGCTAGGACTCACGAGCAAAGCTGCAGGAGATGCAGAAGCTGCTGCCGTGAGTCCCAGCCATCTAGTTTAGCCCCACTCCAGGCATCGTAAGGGTTACTCTCGGTGGTGGTGGTAGTCGCCGGAAGTCTGCAAATTAAGTCGCCGGAAGTGCGCAATTGACACGTGACTGAGGCCCTGTTAGGGTGTTTTTGCGGCCGCCATAATATGTGCCTGTTATTTGGAGGATAGCCGAATTTCTATTAGACATCCTTATTTCCTCAACCCATTTGTTTCCGATTTCAGTGTCTGATGATTCTCTGTTTGCTTCTCATCATGATGTTCCTAGTGGGCATCTATACATTTATCTTATTTCTTTGGTTTTCTTGAATTCATCCTATCATTTACTATTAATGATCATCAGTTTCTGATGTTCAAAGCTGAAGGGAAAAACACTGGGGACTTTTAATCAACTCGTACCTGGAACCACAATAAAACCTCTTTTTTCCCCCTCTACTCCTGGAACAGCTCACAGCATCAGGGCAGGAAGAGATCCAAAGAAAGGGCCCTTCTGTTTGCTTCGTATATAGTACTTTTCAGTGTCTTTGATCTGTTTGCTGTCTATCTTCTGTGTGGTCAACCTTTGGCTCTGTTACCATTGCATCTGTATAACACTGCTCTCTGTGACACGCTCTCTGGTGCCAGTCATCTTCAATTTTTTTATGAGCACTAAATAAACAACTGTCAGTAAAACCTTATTAACATGAATTCAAAGATATTGAAAAAATCAAGAATTTGTGTTAACAAAATATGTGTTAAAGGGGGAACAATTGTACTGGTAATAATGTAAATTCCTGCTGGGACCAAAATTTTTGTTCATGTTAACCAAGAACATCTTAAATGAATTTCTGTTTATTAGGTTTTGCTGAATTGGCATGGAAACTCTTCGTTGGCTACTCAGGAAGGGGACTGAGCACAAGAGTGTCCCAAATAAGTAAATAAAGGACCTTTTTCCACCCCTCCAGACATATTGGGCAGATAGGGCTAGACCCGTATTTTATAGACCCATTGGCACTCATTGAGTGATGTGGTCAGCATCCTGTATGCACATTTACTTCTCAGGACTGTACCTGGTACCCATTTAAGGCTAGGAATAATTGCCAGAGCTACAGAGTTTGTGCTCTGCGTGGAGCATGCCTGCTTGCCACTCTGCGCAGAGCATGCCTGTCTCCACCTTCTTCAACATACTCTGTGAGTCAGTTACAGTCACGACATGTGTGTACATCTGATTCTCAAGCTGGCGGAAGGCAGCAGTGACTGCCTGCACCTCCATTTTCAAACTAGACGTTGTGATATGCTACATTTTGCTGCACCAAGTCTATTCACTTAGCCAATGAATAATATGTTTTTATTTATGTTTTACATTTGGTCAAACCCCAGTCCAGAAATCTGGTTACTGAAGTGACCACTGTGTTTAGTCTGTCTAGCATTCATAATTTTGGTCACACTTAAGAGTTTGCCGCTAAATCTTTTGGTGCCAAAAGTGTTAAAAAACAGAGCTATAAGAATACTATAGACAAGTCAGAAAATTGACTGTCTTAGGAAATTGGACCCAACCAGAAGGGTCTGTTTTGTAGCTTCTCATGGGTAACAGAGTTAACAGCTGAAGTTGCCTGGTTAATGTGTGTCATAATTTTTTTCTTTATGGTTTTTTTTTTTGGCAATCAGAATTGCTAATTAAATAAGTGAATTGATCTGTAATTTAAATATATCTGTCTCCTGTGTTTTGTCTGCTTGATCTTCTTTTGATCTCTTCAGTATATTTTCTTTTCGTAACGGATTTTTAGTCTGACTTTTGATGCCAAATCATCTGTTTTCTGTGCATTTCATTGTCATTCCTCCGTAACAGAACAGTATCATTTGAAAAATCCTAGGCGCAGGTAACTGAAGAAGGAAAAAAAATGCACATTTTGACGGAGAACATTGTATTCAAAGAGTGGAGGTCTGACAAATCGCAGAGGAAAATACATCAAATGTGAAGCAAATGTCAAAAAAAAAATTGCTCCCCTCATTGGAACAACAGTTCTATGGTACTGGACCCAGTACTGTCTTAATGCAAGGGCCCCTAGGCACTTGGCCCGCTGGCCCCACGGGCATAGGGGACTCATGCCAATCTGTGTATGTCAAGATGATTTACATTTCATTTCCGTGAGTGGTTGTCATCGGAGCACCAGCACACTGATTTGCTCAGGGGCCTATAATGCTGTTAAGATGGCTCCGACTAGACCCATAATTTCTAGACCAGCACTCAGTGGATGATGTAGTGAAAATTGTCCTCCCTTATTTTATCCCAGGACATTTTCCTGGTACTCATTTTAGGCTGATCAACCTGTGAATCCAGTTTAAGCATAAAAAATCCACCTCGATACAGATTTGAACCTAACACCTTTGGGCCAGCATGAAAGTATCTAGCCACTGCGTTTCCATGGCTCCCACAGTGAATTAGCACAAAGAAAATAAATGACATAGTTTGAGAAGCAAAGGCGGTCATTGTGATGTTGAATACATCACCCATCAAGGGCCGATTGGTCTATAAAATATGAGTCTAGTTTCATGCTTGATGAGCCACTGGCATGTACTTTAGATTGCCCATTTTGATTTGTTTCAGATCAGTACCAGAGCTGCTTCAGATGTGTCAGATAAGAAAGCCTCTGTAAATTTACAGTGGGTGCCTGTTGCTCCTCTAGGACCTAAAGCAGCCTTCCATGTTGGAGGTGTAGTCAATGATGTACTGTACATCCATGGAGGGATTCAAGAAGCAGGCTCTAACCAGCCTTCTAACCAGTTTTATAAACTGGACTTGAAAACTACATTTTGGGAAGAGATTCATACCCCAGGCAGTCCCTTTCTAAGCCATCATGCAGCCGTGGTTCTAGAAGATAGGTACTTGCTACTCATCGGTGGTTGGGACGGCAGAAAAAGAGGATCAGAATTACATGTCTATGATTCACAAGAAGACAAGTGGTCACAGATGAAACAATCAGGTTTTCCGTTAGGTGCAGGATTGAGTAACCATACAGCTAACAAACTTTCTGATGGTAAAATTATCATTATCGGTAGGGATGGGAGTCTTCGTACTCAGAGAAGACATGGGAGCATATATATTTTATCTGGCAGTGTTGCCTCCGGACACTTTACGTACACAGAGTACAGTAATGAAATAATATCTAGATCTGGACACACAACAAATGTGATTGGAAGTAATGTTTTCATCCTTGGTGGACGTAGTGACTCTGTCTTCGAGAAGACTTGCGGTTTTCAAGGCACAAAGACAAGGGAATGTGGTGTTCTGACAAAACTGCTGACTTCTGTGGAGTCAAGACCCCAGACTCCACTACAACGGTTTCCTTGTGGGCGTAAAAACCATGTAGCCATTGGTAACGAGAAGTGCATTTTTGTTCATGGTGGAGAGACTTTTGATGGCCGAAGAGAACCCACAGGAGAAATGTTGCTGATAGTCATAAAGACACCGGTTTGCTTCTTTCAGCTGAGTGGTGAGCCTCTGAGGCGTGCAGGGCATGTTTGCTTTGCTCTGTCTGACAGAATATTCCTTCATGGAGGCCTCAGTGGAAAGACCAACGTTCATGCAGATTTGTATGATCTGGTAGTGAAATCATAAAAGCGTATTAAGACTTCTAGACATTTGGTTTTTTTTTTTTTTTACTTATTTGTTTTTGAAAATATTTTCAAGTTATGAGTTTTATTGATGACCCAGACAGTTTATTTATCTGATGAAATACAGCAAAATATACCAGGCAATAAATTGTGCTTTACATTGATTGACCTCAAATTATCCACTTTTCTGTGTGTGGTTTAAAAAAATAAATAAAAATCACACTAATGATTTTTCAGCTCTGGTAACATCTATGGCAGGGTTGTTCAGCTAAGTTTATTCAGGGGACAAAATGTTGACAATGGGAATCTTTACAGGTCAGGAGCTTGAGCCCCAAGGCACCAATATAGCAAGGTCATTAAAACATTACAATTAGCAGTGATTGCTGGCCACTTGCTAGTATCTTTGGGGCCACATTCTGCCCATGGCCCACCAGTTGAATAGCCCTGTCTATACACCATACTGGTGTTCCATCTTTTCCTTTGTAGTAAACAATGCAGGCAGAGAGAGGAGAGCGAGAGAGAGAGAGAGAGAGAGAGAGAGAGAGAGAGAGAGAGAGAGAGAGAGAGAGAGAGAGAGAGAGAGAGAGAGAGGGATCATGCTGCATGGGTAAAGACATGGTCTCTACAATACCTCCCAGACTTTGTGTTGTAGAGAGCAGGAACATCACTCTTGGCCTTCACTGGTATCATCATGGGTAAGGGTTCCCATGCCTCTCTATCTTCACTGGTATCATCATGGGTAAGGGTTCCCATGCCTCTCTATCTTCACTGGTATCATCATGGGTAAGGGTTCCCATGCCTCTCTATCTTCACTGGTATCATCATGGGTAAGGGTTCCCATGCCTCTCTATCTTCACTGGTATCATCATGGGTCAGGGTTCCCATGCCTCTCTATCTTCACTGGTATCATCATGGGTCAGGGTTCCCATGCCTCTCTATAGCAGAAGGAAACATTGTCGTCTGGAAAGATGGAACAATGCCGACAAACATCTTTGTTTTCACTGAGATGAAGAGATTATATGCATGTTTATTTCCTTTCCTTTTTTTTTACCTAGTTGTCCATTTTAACGTCTTTATTAACGAGCTGTATGCGGCATCCGTGGCTTAGGCTTTGCGCTTCCAACATGTAATTCCAAAGTACCGTGATCAAAACCCACTCCTGGCTGCGTGGCTTTTTATAATGGTACAGGGCGTCGCAGGTTGAACTAGCCTAAAATGGGTACCAGGATGGCTGTCCTGGGGAAGTAAAGACGGCCGGTATAATGCTGACCACATTACCCACCTAGTGCTGATCGGTCTGTAAAAATATGGGGTGCTCTTCCCATATACCCGATGTGCCTAAGACATGAAAAGGGATCTTTTACTATTAAGTGCTGTAGTTAATACAGATAGGCAGTTGGATGATTAGTAAACACAAAATTAGGAGCAGTGGAGATGTAGTTTTATAGACGAATGATAAGAATATCCTCCTGGACAGATAAAAAGAGTAATGACGATGTTTTGACAGAAACTGACTTACAAATAGAACTGGCTACCCACATCAGAAGGAGACAATCCATATTCTTTGGTCATGTCATAAGGAGAAAACTGGAGTACATAGTGATAGTGGGCAAGTTGGAGGGGAAAAGGGGCAGACTGAGACCGTGAGAGAACATGCTGGACAGTTTGACATTATGGCATGGAGGATCATCTGTGTCAGAGTTGATTGCAAGTACATGATACAGAAGGTTGTGGATAGACATGACTGCCAATGCCACATGAAATGGACACAAAAAGTTAACTTGAGGTCCATAATACTCCTATATTGGGTTTGTTTAAAATCCAAAAGGAATGCTGAGTTGAGTGGTTAGAGCACCGGTTCTCATATGGGAGACCTGAGTTTGATCCTCAGTAATGGATACAAATTTTTTTTCTGTTGAGGAAAAAAAATAAAAATCCTGTCCTGCACAGTTTGTGGCGGCTGCACTAGCCACGTAGCTTTCAAGCTTCAGGCCTACAACCCCCCCCCCCCCCCCCGACCTACACATCCTAAAAGTGGTAAATATCGACAAAAAAGATAGTTGAACTGTCCCATGCAGGCCTGCCCAAAATACTTAACAACTGTGATGAGAAACCTGACCTCAAGATCAAAGTGCAGATTAAGCTGTGGGGAACCATGAAGGCCCTGCAGCTGACATGTGAATTCACAGAGGCAGCCCACCTGACAGTCTGATCTGAGTGTACAAAACCTAAGGAAAAAAAGAAGCAGAAGACTGATTTTGTTCCCCCTGAAATATGTAAAGATATATGAAGAGAGTAACCTCTAAACATGAACAGGGTTGAGCATTAAATGGAATACATTCCTTAGTGCATAAAAATATACAGATGCATTGGGTGATTCAAACCATGACCTCATGACCACAATCAGTGAGGTTTATAGGAGAATTTAACATTAACTTGGCTTTAAAAACACTGTTTGATTAAAAGGAAAACCCCCTAAGTCAGTGATTCCCAAACTGTGCACCCTGGAGCCCCGGGGAGCCGTGACCTCTTGACAGGGGCGCCGCAAAATATTGTAAAAGCTTCATAATTAATGTAACCAAGACACGGATAGTCATACTTTTACACTGGTTAGGGCACTTTGGACAAATTTTAATTGAAAAAAAGGAGCTGCGGCCAAGACAAGTTTGGGAAACACTGGCCTAAAAGATCTCTTAACTGTTTGCACAGGCGCAAAAACAGCCAGTAGCATTTATTGTATGTCTCATGTTTGTTTTAGTATCCAGAAGCTATGAGTTGTTAACCCTTAGGCTCGGTATTATGGATATCGCAACCTTTCGGCCTTGATTCCATTGTAAATACCGTAAATCTGGGAGAAATGTGGCTTTTCTGCCTACCCCCAGGATTGAACCCAGACCACAAGGAGTTCGTCACCCAGTCTTTGCGCAATCCGGTTTAACCAACTACGCTAGAGAGCCGGGCGTATGTCTCATAAACAGGTAACTAAAGACAAGTAGGAAAGGTCTTATTTAAGGGAAATTGGCCTCAGTCAGAAGTATCTGTTTTGTACCTTCTTGGGGCGAAAGAGATAAGATATTTACTGCAGGAGTTGGGAGTATGTGTGGGTGTACCTGATATACTGTAAGGTTGGTTCTTAGATCAGTAACACATGAAGAAAGAGCAAAGAGTTAAGTGGAGGTAAAATACTGGAGACAAGAGGAAGGGACAGACCAAAGACAACATTAACTAATTCCGTACAGAGTAACTCACCATGAGTTTCTTGGCATCGGTTCATATGATAATCTTCTTTGGCCCTGTCTTATTTTTACACTCACCCACTTTGCCCCAATTCTAACTTCAACTCCTGCTGTCCCATAGTAGTTAGTTATTTAGTTAGCTGGGTTATCATCACTGCACTCCAGAAAGACCCATAGGTGCTCAGATCCTCCCCTCAGTATGAGCCCCAGCGTCTGGTGGCTAATAGTACCAGTTCTATGTTGACTGACAAGTCCTCTGATGTGCCTGGTGTTTGTCTCGTTTTTTGCTATGAAAACTCCAAGTCTATCATTTGGGCGAGTAATGTGGACTCACTGTCCCCAAAGCTTCCACCCTTCCCATTTTTCAGAGGGCACTAATAATATCAGCATGATCCATAGGATGACTGTCGATAAGATCGGATCCAGCCAACCTATCAGCTCTTTCATTTCCATCGATGCCTGTATATCCTGGAAATAAACATATTGAACATATTCCACATATCGACACCCAATTTTAAACTTACAAGAATTGGGGAAAACATATCATCTTATACACACACAGAATACAGTAACTGTCCAGACCCAAACTTTTAATAATTAAAGTAATAATGTCTAAGTTCTGCTTTTTCTTCTGTGTTTGCTCTTAAAAGAGTGGTTGGCATGTGCTGTGATTTATAGCTAGGCTGTGATATCTGTGCCGTTTGACCCTACATGCCCAGTTTCAGTAAAACCTCCATCAGTCCCCTTTAATGACCTGCTTGTTAAGGAGTCTTGGGTTTATTCTTTTTTCCCCCCTCGCTTTACAAGCATGTCATAGGAGTTGACTACTTGGGGGCATCGTTTGAAGCCAGAGTACATCTGCATGAGAGGCAAGGAACCAAGAGTCTGCATACAAAAAAGCCAGATCTGTGAAACAGATGTGCATGCAACACTCAGGTTCTGTCATAAGATTACAGTTTGGAGGTGACCACCCACAACTTTTCCCCTGAGTTTACAGCTAGTGAATGTGAAGAAGAAGATTTGGCTCTCCTCCAAACTTCTACCCCCGCATTATGGCGGCCTGAAATATCCGTTCGGGGCTCAGTCCAATGAAAAAAATGCGGACTTTCTGCCAAGGAACAAATCGCGACAAAACTAGGATTACTTGACAATTTCAAGAGACGCAACATTGCAGACGATAGTAGCAGACGATAAAAGCGACTGGTGACAATGTCGAGTGTTTCTGCAGACAATACTAGCAGATGATAAAAGCGACTGTTGACAATTTCGAGACATTACAGACGATGAAAGCGATATGGCGGGTAGACCACGCGCTCCCACGCAGATTAGCAATACTGTTCTTCTGATTGAGGATTTAGCAGCGGTAGATGTCAGACTTGTCGGCATGCGCAAAAGGCGATTAAACTCATCGCCGAGCGTATTCCCCGCGCCGCGATGGGGGGGCTAATCTAGGTGCCTGGGACTCACGAGCAAAGTAATTGGAGGAAGTTGCAGGAGATGCGGTAGCTGCTGCTCGTGTGTCCCAGCCATCTAGCCATCCGCAAGTAACATATTGCTGAGACCCTGAGTATTTGTTTTGTTTTTCCGAGCCGATCCTAGATTTGCCGCGATTTGTTCCTCGTTAGAAAGTCCAACAATAGAAAGTGTCAACGGTCACTACTATCGTCTGCTACTATCATCTGCAGTGTTGCGTCTCTTAGAACTGTCAGGTAATAAGAAACAGGTCCGCAAGTAACATATCGCTGAGACCCTGTTAGAGCATTTGTTT